CTCCATTGTTTTCTTCGGCGGTGCCTTTTCAATATGTCGATCTCTGCTTCCTCTGCCAAGACGTACCATTCCTCAAGTCGATGTGGGTCCCCTCGGGGCAGGCAAGCATCATATAGATCATAGTTTAGTCCGTCTTTGAAATGGCCAAGGAGGATGTCTTCTGGCCAATTCAGTTTGCTGGCAATGGCCCGGAATTCTTGTGTATACTCGGCCACTGGGCGTTTGCCTTGCCTCATCATTGTTATTCTTTCACGGGCTTTGCGATCAGCCAGGGGGTCTTCAAATTGTCTTCTCAAAGAGGACATAAAACGGTTGAAGTTACTGAGTTCTGGGGCATTGGAGTCATGCAAGTTCACTACCCAATCCGCAGCTGGTCCATCCAGGGCAGATTGCACGATCCGGATGCGGGCTTTGTCGCTGGGAATGTCCTGCCCATATTCCTCCATGTAGCTGAGTACTTGGGTTAGGAAAAAACCCTAGCGTGTTGGCTCCCCTTTGAATTTCACCTCCAACGGTGGACGTCTTGGAATGGATCGGTGCCTCCGGTGTGGGTGGTAGTGTCTTCCGTCCAGATTGCCATCTGTGGTCCGGTAGGGGGTGGGGGCTCCTGGATCAGTAGATGTCCCTGGGGTTGCAGGTTCCACGTCCCCCTCGGTGTCTCTCCCTTTGTGGCTCCAGGAACTGGGGCGGCCGTAGGGCTCAGTAATCTCCTCTCCTAGGGAGCTGAGAGTTCTCTTCATCAGGTCAATAGCTTTCTCTAGGATCCAGTCTGAGTACGGTACCCAGCTTCCTCCCTCTTCACTTGCATGCAGGGATTTCTCCATCTCCTGCTTCCATTCTGGTTGCTTGGTCCCCCGTCTGAGGGTCACCTTTCTTGATTCCTTTCTCCACTCACTTTTCTTTCCAACGTTCATCGACCAGCGAGGCTTGTGGTCCTGTGTCTCCACCACTTCTTCTCCCGAGGAATCTGACCTCTCAGATCCCAACATCTGGCAAGGTTCCAACTGGGTCAGCGGCTCTCTTTCCAGGGAGTTTTCCCCCTCTTTTGCTCCATTGTCGGACATGGTAAATTTTTGCAAAATCCCCCGGCAAGGGTCTTCCTTCCAGGTGGATTAATTTTGCAAGTCCTGTCTAATGTGAGGACCCACCCCACTTTGCATCTTAAGAAGACAGAACTCTTGGAATAATTCTTCCAACAGGAATCCTTTATTAAGAGAAAATGGTTGCAGGCATGCTAGACAGGACTTGGGTTTCAAGCTCTTCCATTCAAGGTTTTAAGGGGTTCCCCAGTAGTCCCACCCAATCAACCCCCCTTCCAGTGATAGTTTCAAGTATCACACTTCCGCCCCCTTTCTTCTTTCTTCTGTCTGGATGGAGACTTCAGATAACTACATGAAAGGCAAATACCTTCCTTTGGTATGTTAACGCTTCGAGGTTACAATAAACACACATTCAGCATTCAGCTCTTTGAAGTGTACTGAAGGAAGTGAGGGCCATAAAGCCCCTTTGTTCTCCCCCTTCTCTCCCTCTTATGGCAGAATCCAAAGATGGCAGAATTGGGAGTTTCTATATTTGATAATTAAAGATGAAATATAATTGGAACACTTGGTCTGGTAGATGATATATTAACTGCCAACCAGAAACCTTCTGCAGGACAAACTTCTGGATGGGGATGGGAGGGTGGGAGAATAATAAGTGAATACATTTCTGAAATGAATATTCTTTCCTTGCCTGCCTCTGATCCCCAAATTACAATAGGCAGTTTCTGCCTCCCACCCAGCTTCACTAGATCCTTGAGGGATGAGTTTTGATCTGGGAACTGCATCTGATCAAGCTATTGTATCAGAAACTGCCCACTTGTAGTTATCTCTCTGGGGGATATAAAGATAGATTTCCCACTTCTCTCCCTCTGAAAAATGACATTTTAGGATGGGAGAAGGGAAGAGATAGTCCTTTTCATCCAAGTTCTCCGGAGGGAGAAAGAAGGGAGGAGAGGTGTTCAACATCAATAGATGCAGAGAATCTGCAGAAAAAATACAGAACCTTGCTGAGTTGGCTATGTGTAAAAGAGGGAGGAAAGAAGCACCAACCTTCCTTACCTAAAGTGGATGGGAAGAATTGCTTTTGAAGTGGGAGGTGGTGTGAAAGCTTGCATGGTCAAAAACAAACAGCCTGATACCAGATCTGTTTGTTACTAAAGACAGATGCCACATTATACAGGCAAGAGAAAAAAATGAAAGAATTTAAGCCTTAATTTCACTATAAATAAAGCTTATATTTGATACCAGAGTCACTGAGATTCATTTACAATAACTATATTGCTTTTGTACAATTTATCTGAAACTTTGCATAAATAAACTTTATTTGTGCCTATTTATCTAAAATGTTGCTGCCTTGGAATCTATTCTTCAAAGGGTTTATTTGATTATTTGTTTGTTTTTTTGTTTTGCCAGGGAAGGGGTAGGGAGGCCTGACAGATTTCCCAGTGACAAAAGAAATAGTCACCTCCCTCCCTCTCTTCCTCTCTCCCTCCCTCCCTCCCTCTCTCTCTCTCTCTCTCTCTCTCTTTATTCCTTTCTCTGTGCATGTTTCTCTCTCTCTCTCTCTCTCTCTCTCTCTCTCTCACACACACACACACACACACACACACACAGAGAGAGAGAGAGAGAGAGAGAGAGAGGGAGAGAGAGACAGGAGTGGAATAATTAATAGCAAAAATAATCCCAATAGAAGCAATGAAAACCAGAAATACCATCTATATTGCCAGGTCTACACAACCTGATCAGCACAGAACTAATGGGTTTCATGAGAATGCATCACAAGGAAACATCTGATTGGTTTCTTAGTGATATTACTCCAGGAATAGCAGGACAAAGCAAATTTGCATGGCAAAACAATTTTATATGGCCCAATGTTATGTCTTTATATTTTCCCCAATTCCTTTCATCAATCTTAATTTGATCAGATAATAATCTTGAGTAGTTAAAGGTAATCCAATTCCTGTTTTGTCTTTCATTCCAGATTTCTCTCTTTTGTGATGGGGTAGGGCCACAGAGAAAGAGACATTTCCTTAATAGTAGGCAATTTTTATGTAGCATTTCACTATTGGCTCACAAAGCCATCACTCTTCTCTCTGTACGATGCAGTAAGATCTCCAGGCATCTACCCAGATTTTGGAATCAATTTACAATTAGCTATAAAGCACTAATATGTTAAGCAAAATGCTAGCTTAGGTAAGGAAAACTCTTGAATACCTCCAGATCTCTATTTGCCAAATATATCAAAATATATTGTCATGATTTGGACAAGACCTTACACAGATTTTTAGAACTCTGAGAATGGGGAAATGGCAGCAATAAAAATTAAAATAAGGTAGGGCAGATGCCTATCTATATTCATTTATTTTTCATTCAAGTTGAAAAAATTATATCACTTCCTATGATGCACCACAGATTAATGGTATCTGAGAATGGATAGGAAATAAAAATGAACGCTTCTACTGAATGACTTGATAAGGGAGAGAATAAAAAAGGAAAGTAGAAGCAAAACAAAAATAAATGTTAAACTTTTAAAATGTCAAAAAAAAAACCCATTAATTTTTTTTCTTTCAACAAAAGTCAAGAATAAATCTATCCCTTACAACAATGAGCACCATTCTAAAATGTCCGTGTTACTAGTACCAAAGCTAACTTTTGAGATTTTCATTCTGTTGAATGACCGTTAATGTAGATCTTGGGGCAATGAGGCTTCCTCTATATAAAAATAGTATGTACCAATCTTTTTATTTAAATGCCCAGAATATTCTATGATGGTTACAGTGACACACTCTGGTTGATCTATAGAAGAACAGTATCTACAGAACCCCCAGTGATTATGTGGGCAGCTATGGACTTGCTTTTCCCAACCTGGTGACCTCTAAAAATGTTTGGAATTGTTCATTATCAAAATCTGAGTTTGGTTGGGTTTTTGGATTCTACCTCAATCTGAAAAAGCCTGTAATTTTTTTTGACAGGTAAAAACACTTGTACATTTGTTTTATAAAGTTACATTTATCTTACATTTGACACCAGGGGGGAAAAAACTTTTCTCATTACTGGAATACCTAACAATATATTATTACTAGTTCACTCTCTAAACAAACATTAAAATAATTATCAACATTAAAGAAATTATATATTAATTATTTTTTTAAAAAAGGCAATCAGCTCTACAGCTTAATTTCACAACACATTAATTTATGTAATTTGGCCAAAATAAATCAGAATAGAAACAACAAATGCACTTTCAACAGAAAATATTTTATTTTTATAAAATCATTAAGTATCAATCTCATGGAAGGTGTTGCTGTTTGCAAACTAAAGAATAAAGGAACCATAAGGGAAAAAATAGCTTAATTAGAAACTGCTAAAGTTATTGTATACAGAAATAATGGGGTTTCTTCAATTTTGTTCTTTTGGGGAGTTATAATCAAAGGAAAAGGCAAATATTTTTGAGTGACTGACATTATTCCTGCAACATTTGCAATGCCAGATATAGGCTGTAATGTATTTATTGCCAGCATTCTCTTCTAAGCAACAACTAAATCAAAAGCTTAGTCTGTCCTAGCAAATAAACCAATTTCAGCCTGTCTAAACCAATCTGTATTTATTATGCAGGACTTTCTATGGCTAGCAAAATAAGCCATCTCTCACCAGATTTCCTGCTGACCCTTAATGAAAGGCCTATCAGTCAAAGAAGAACTAGAAAGGTGAAGGGAGGTGGGGGAGTGGGGGGGGAGTAGGAAATAGGCGATGCTTTAAAAGCACTGGGAGAATCCTTGCTGAGCAAATCTTGCCTGGTGAGCCCAATGAAATAGCGCCTGCCTTAAAAACTAATGGAAAAGGTTCGATCAAATGCCTGAGTCCGCAAGCTCTGGAATTGTTCAAGTGGACTCAGCCGACCCTTCCCGGAGAATCAGCTCTCGGCCATCGCTGCAACCCAGAAAGGGTGGGCGTCCCTACCTTGGAAGAAGAAAGCTTTGCTGCCGTTGTGCAGTCCCTGAACTTGCCGCACTCCAGCCACAGAATCCCCCAACTGCAACTCGCTCAGCACATCAATCTGCACCGACGGGTCCACGCCAATGCCGAACACTGGATCCAGAAAAATAAGATTACCACAGAATAGGGCAACTATTTTCCCTCCGACATTTTCTTCACCCGACCCCGGTTTTCTCCCCTCTAACGACCCAGGACCTGAGATCCCCTTGATTCAGCCGCACCTGCCAGTTTGGCTGCGAGACCTAGTGTCGTGCGGTCTATTGACAAAGTTCTGGGAGTCGGATGTTGGTTCCCAACAATCCTCCCGACCTCTTCCCTGGCGGAGAAAGACTCTGATTCTCCCCATGAGAAACAAAGAGCAGGATCAAGGGTTCGGGGAGAAGAGGAATAGGTGGGGAACCCACGGCTTCTTGCCCTTACCGGAGCTCAGGCAGAAGAGCAGGCACAAAGTGCTCGCGGATACCGACGGGGACGCCATAGGGTTGGAGAAGGAGCGGTGATCAGTCCATAGTTCTCCTCAGGAAGAGGATCGCGGCGAAAAAAGCAATGCTCGGAGCCTCTCAAGCTTTCCCTCAGGACAAACTGAAGATCCCGCAGGCGAAAATCAACAAGGTCAGAGCCAGCCCCAAAGCTCGCAGCATCCTCCCGGGTGTGTCAAGCCGAGAGCAGCATCCTCCCGGCGCCTCGAAACCTGAAGCCTCCTCTGTCAACAGTGGCAAAAAAGAGCCGGAGAGCGCGTCGCGCCTGGGGCAATGCCGAGAGTTTCCCGGGGGAAGCCAGGCGAGTAGCGCGGGGAAGAGGCATCTAAGGCGCGCCTAGATCGCTTTCTCCCTTTGGGCTTCCTGGCTAAACCTCGCGGCCGTTACCAATGGCAGCAACAGGAGCCGCTGCCGCCGCCGCCGCTCTGTCCACCGGCGCCAGCGAGGCTTCAGGCTCCTCCTTGCAGCAGCATTAAAAGGGGCCGAGACGGCGACAGTTTGGAAGAAGAGGAGGCGGGCTGGGGCGATGATGACAGGCGGGTGGGCGGCGAAAGGGAGGCACCCTCCTCGCGCGCCTCGGTTCCTACCGCAGGTGCCTTTGGCTGGAAAGCGCCGAGCACCGGGAAATCCTTCTCCTGTTGGACCTCTTCGCAGGCTTCGTTTCTGGGTTCATCTTTCTTCCAAAGAGACGCAAAGCCATCCACCTTCGTCCCCATTCGGTACTCCCACAGCGCGCAACCGTCTCTTGATCTAAAGCTGGAAATTCCTACACTGGGAGTTGAACCGTCTCCAGTAGTTGGAGAACGGCACATCTTCATCCTCCTTTACCCTGTAGAGCGTCGGTGCGCATCTCCATTCATGGCTAAAGTAACACATTCGGGGAGGTCCCAGAATTCTCATGTGACTTGGAAACTGTGGAGAAATTATATGGGGGCTGGCAACTTTGCAGCCGCGTCCGGATTTCCCCCGACTCGGCTGGGCGCAAACGGGGCGCCCCCTAGATTAAGGTGGATATTTGAGTATTTCAGGGCATGAAAAGGCATGGCTGAACACACAAATTCGCAGGAGACGGAAAACAACAGCTGGGTGATCACAGGAGCAGAGGCTGTCTCTGTGGAAGATCTTGGTTGCGAAGCTTCAGAAGAAACCCAGTTGGAAGCTTCTCCGCCCAAGAGCGAGCTTTTCGTGGACAGTCCAGATCTGGAAGAGGAGAAATCAAAGGAGGAAGCTGAAAACAGCAGCCTGAAGATGACGAATTTCCAATTTGATGCGGGAGAAAACCCGAATGACCAAAGACCTACATACAACATTATATATATACATATACATATATATACATACACACACACACACACACATACACACATTCTTAATATTTAGCAAACAGCATGTTGTCTGGGTTCATGTATTTAAAAAAACAATGAAGAATAATTATCATAAACAATATGTTAATTAATTGCTCAGTAGTCTTCTTCTTACTAGTATATATTCAATGTTACATATCACGTTCCTTTCTCTCTAACTCATTTTTTTAACCATTGATAAAAATTATCCCGTGTTCTAAAATACACTGAATCTTCTTTCTCTTTAATCTTTAAAGTCAATCTATCCATTTCTGCACACTCTAAAATTTTCTTAATTAGTTCTTCTGTTGGTAAATTTTAATTTTTCCAATATTGGGCAAATACAATTCTTGCTGCAGTTAGTACGTGTAAAATTAAATATATATAGTCTTTCTCATAATTTGCTCCTATTACTCCTAACAAAAATCATTCTGGCTTAAAATCTATTTGTTTTTGAGTCATTTTCTCCAACCATAAGTGTATTTTTGACCAAAATCTTTTAACTTTAGGGTATGTCCATCAGATATGGTAATTGTTTGCATTTCCAACACTTGTTTGAAGTATTTTTAAACATTTTTGCTAATCTCACTGTTGTTAAATGCCATCTGTAAAACATTTTATATAAGTTTTCTTTATATGCCACTGCTTTTGTTAATTTAGAATTTCTTTCCTATAACCTTTGCCAGTTTTCTAATTCTATATTATGTCCAAAGTTTTTTGCCCACATTATCATTGTTTCTTTTATTTGTTCCTCCTCCATCTTTAAGCTTAACAGATATTTATAGAGTTTCTTAAACAGTTTTTTATCTGTTTTTAGCAGTATCTGGTCGAATTCTTTCTGTTCTTTATAAAATCTCATGTTTTAGCATCTTTTTCATATCTCGTTTGGGTCTGCAAATATGGCCACCATCATAGATCAATACCTTGTTCTTGTAAATCTTGTCTGTCTTTCAATTTCTCTTCATTGTCCAAAATATCTTTATAGGTCACACCTTTCTCATAATTAATTAAATTTGGGTAAGCAAATGCTTCCATTGTTGAAAGCCATCCAGGTGCATTTCATATAAAGTGGTTTTGAAAGTATCTATGAATTTTATTCTTCCCATACCACAGAAAGGCACGCCAACCAAGTTGTAGGTCATGCTCCTCTAAGTATAATAGTCTTTTTATCTCTGAGCATTATCTACTCTTTAAGCCATGTTAATATAGTTGCTTGGTAGTATAACATCCAGACAGGCAGTCCAAATCCTCTACTTTCTTTCACTTCTTGTAACATTTTCAGTCTGATTCTAGCTTTTTTTCATTGCCAGATAAATTTCAGTATTGTTGTATTTAATTCATCAAAAAAGGCTTTTCCCAGCCTTATAGGTATCGTTTGGAACAGAAAGAGTATTTTTGGTAAGATACTCATTTTCACTGTTGCTATTCTCCCCAGCATTGAAAGTTGTAAATTTTTCCACTTTTCCAAATCCAATTTTATTTGTTTTAGCGATCTTGCCTAATTCTCTTCTTTTATTGTTGCACATTCTGTTGTTAAATAAATTCCCAAGTATTTAAATTTTTTAACTATTTGAAGATTTGTTTTTTGCTAGTTGTTTTTTTTGTTTTTCTGTTAGATTTTTAGTTAGAACTTTAGTCTTTTCTCTGTTTATTTTCAACCCTGCCACTTCTCCAAAGTTTTCTATTTTTTCCATAAGTTTAGTGCTTGTTTCAAGCAGTTCTTCCAATATAAAAACCAAGTCATCTGCAAATGCTTGTAGTTTTCATCTTTTATCTTCAATCCTTTAATTTTCTATATCTTGTCTGATGTTTCTATTCAATACTTCCAGTGTTATAAATAATAATGGAGATAGTGGACATCCCTGTCTTGTGCCTTTTTTAATGTCAAGGTTTTCTGTAAAATCTCTATTTACAATTATTTTGGCTTTTTGTTTATAATAAATTGTTTTGATTACATTTATAAAGTTTTCTCCAAAATCCATTTCCTCTAGTTGCTGAAACATAAATTGCCAGTTTACGTTGTTGAAGGCTTTCTGTGCATCAAGAAATATTAAAGCCATCTGTTTCCCTGGATGAATTTCATAGTACTCACATCTAGAATCATTCTTAAATTATTTTTTATCTGTCTTTTAGATAGAAAACAATTTTGATCTGTATGTATAAATTCGGTCAAAAATTTCTTTAATCTTTCTGCTATAATTGAGGTGAAAATTTTATAATCTACATTTAATAACGATATTGGTCTATAATTTTTAATTTGTGTTAGATCAGAGTCTTCTTTGGGTATTAGGGTAATATTGGCTTCAGTCCATTATTTGGTATTTTAGCCTCCAAAAGTATTTCATCGCACAATTCTTTCAAGATTGGGCTTAGTATATCTTGTAATGATTTATAAAGCTCTGCGGGTAATCTATCTGGACTCGGAGTCTTATCATTTTTTTGCCTTTTTAATCTCTATCATTGATATTTTTCCATTTAATAAATTTTGGATATTCTCTGAGATTTTTGGTAAGTTTGCTTTTTAAAAATATTGCTGTATTTTTTCTTTTGAAATTTCCTCTGCATTGTAAAGTATCTCGTAATAATCTTTGCTAATTTTCTTAATTGTATCGTTTTGAAACTGTAATTCACTTTTGAGTCTTGCAACTTGTTTATCAGTGTTTTCTCTTTTTCTTTTTTCAGTCTATGTGCTAACCATCTCCCCGGTTTATTAGCATTTTCAAACAAGTTCTGTTTACCCCTTTTAATCTGTTAAGTCATTATTTCCATCCAGTAATGGGATTCAGCCAGTTCGCACCACTTCGGCAGAACCGGTAGCTAATTTTTTGTTGGCCAGGCCCAGAATGGACTTCCGGAAGCAGCATCCACACAGAGAACTGGTTGTTCATATATTTGAATCCCACCACTGTTTCCGTCTCAGTTAGATTTAATTTATGTTTTATTATCTCCGTTTGCTTCTTAAGTATTTTCTTTGTGGGTCTATTTGTAATTCTGATTCTAATTTTCTGAACTCTTCCTTCAACTTTAACTGTTGTTGTTTCTTTTCTTTATTCTTTTTAGCAGTATAAGTTATAGCCAACCCTCTGAAATATGCTTTAGCTGTGTCCCACACATTTTGAAGCGAAGTCTCTTCTTTCGTATTTATTTTGAAAAAAAGTCCATTTCCTTTGTTGCTAGTTGTATGAATTCTTTTTCTTTCAATATAGATTTGTTCAAGGATCATCTTAATTTTTTCTTGGCTTCTCTCCAAGTCATCTTTATTGGGTTATGATCTGCCCAGATATTAGTTTCTATCTCAATTTCTTGTATCATCGTGCTAAGTTCCGAGGATGTCCATATCATATGAATTCTAGACCATGATTTATGTCTATTTGAGTAAAATGTATATTGTAGTTTTTTGGGATTTTTTTCTCTCTCCATATATCTTGGATACAGAGTTCTTCTGCCATTTTTAAAAATGCATTAGGTAATATATTTCTTTCTTTTCTCACTTGTTTGGTGTTTTTATAGTCCAAAGTTCCATCTGTTATTGCATTGAAGTCTCCCATTATACAAAGATTTTAATCGTCCTATTCTAATATTTTTTATTTAATTTTTGGTAAAATTGTTCTTGTTTATCATTTGGTGCATATATTGCTACCATCAGTATCTGTTTTTGATTCATCATTATTTCCACCATTAATATTCTTCCCTCTTCATCCGCATACATTTGTTTAGGGTTCATCGTTTCTTTAATGTATAGAGCTATTCCTCTTTTCTTTTGATGTGCTAATGCAAAGTGAAGTTTACCAATTCTCGGCTGTTCTAACAATTTATAGTGTTGTCTCTTAATATGTGTTTCTTGGAGGCAAATTATGTCCATTTTTAATTTTTGTAGTTGTGTAAAGTTTTTTTCCTTTTTAAGGGAGAATTTAGTCCATTTATATTCATTGACAAGATCCCACTTTCCTTCTCCATCTCTTTCAATTATATCCAGGTCTTAATCTTCTAGTCAATCTTATCTGTCTCTGTTTTCTTGGTCTTGCTCTTTCTTCTATGTATGTATTTTTAATTTCTTCCTCCTTTCTTGGTTTAACTGCTCCTTCTACTGCCA